GTGGTTCCCGTATTCACCCGTTGACACTTCCAGCACTGAGAAATTAGAGGACAATGAAGGATGGTTGCAGTCTTGCCAGATTTGTCTGGAGCAAAACTCAGATATCATTTCATTTATGATCAGTACCGAGCGAGCTTCAAATGAAGGTCTTTTAGTTCTTTGTTTGGTTTTTCAAACTAGACATTGAAAGAATGCACAAAATAAGTAAAGTTTGTGGCGGTGATGAAACGTTGGATTCTGTTACAGTGTTAACGTTAGAATTAATTAATGAATAAATTAAGACTGAGTTTCATGGTAAAGGAAAAAGAATAAACTAAAATCCAAGTGTCTTGATTTGGAGAATTTTGTGCGAAATAAATTCTATCGATTATTATTTGACTTGTAAGTAGCAGAAATATACGCAAAAAGATTTTTGTTTCCTTATTATTTTTTTTTGTTTTAAAGTTGCATTTCTTTTCAAGTTCAAGGAAATTACTTAAGTCTCACGCACCTCAAGTTTTGGATAGCGTACCAACGCTCATCTGGAATTTAATGTATAAGTGGAAATTCTGAGTATTGGTCAAATTGAAGGTAGTTCATACCAAAATCTGCAGGGTTGTGGTACGACGGACACTCCAACCCTACTTCAGATAAGTAGGGTACCATGCCCTTAATGCTTCCTTGGTAAATACACCTTCCTTCTGTTATAACGTACAGATGATCGAACATCTCGAACAAAGAGGCGCTTGGTTGGTGTATGGTGCAGATCACAGTGCGACCCTCTTTGGCTAGTAACTTCAGCACTGCTAGACACTGCCTCGATGTACAACTGTCAAGACCACTGGAATTTGAAACAACAGTTAAATAAGCTATGCCCCACACATTTGTCATGTTCGCATTTAGATTTATTTTTAAGCGAACACGAACAACTTCAGTAGGTCTTTACTTGGTGTTATAAATTGTTACTACTGACTTGAGACTAACGTGAAATTATATATGCTTAAAATCTTAGTTACCGTTAATAAACAGGATTATTTTAAAGTTGTACTGAGACTAGAATAAATTTCTTCCTATCTTTTGGATGTTATATTAGAAATGCAGGTCAGAATTTGTGATTTTTTCATCTTGTTGACTTGATATAAAAATTAATCTTAAAGAAGATTTCTGTCTTCTGGGTTGTTGCGTTTCATCGCCCTGATGACGGAGGCAGTATGACCTCTGAAACGTTGGTAAACATCGACCAGACTACACGGCGCAACAATCCAGAAGACAGAAATCTTCATCGCCCTGAAGACGGAGGCAGTATGACCTCTGAAACGTTGGTAAACATCGACCAGACTACACGGCGCAACAATCCAGAAGACAGAAATCTTCATCGCCCTGAAGACGGAGGCAGTATGACCTCTGAAACGTCGGTTAACAACCCAGAAGACAGAAATCTTCATACTCACCGCTGTGAAAACCGCAAATCTTACATAATCTTAAAGAAATATTGTTTATGTGGGGTGGACCAGCACTAGATGATGAAATTAAATGATAATAAGATGGGTGGGGCATGTAGCACACAGGGAGTTGGGAAATGAGCTTTGGTCAAGAAACTGGAAGACTTAGGCACAGATCGTAGAATAATATTAAAAAAGATTCATTTGGCTTAGGATACTAATCATTGGTGGGCTATTGTAAATATGGTTATGTACCTTCAGATTACATAAAAAGTTTATAATATATTAAATAGTTGAGCAAATATTTGTTTCTTAAGAAGGACTGCTTCGTGGAGTTTGCTTAAAGTTTGATTCATCATTAAAATTTACCTTGTGGGTTCGTCAAAAAACATTACTGGCGGATTGTTGACTAGTTCAAGAGCAATGGCGAGCCTTTTTCGCTGTCCACCCGAGAGACTTCCAGTCATTGTTTTCTGCACCTCAGATAAGCCCATGGCTCTAATAATTTGGTCAGTCTGAAGGATCAAAAAGTACATCTTAACAATATATCTAGAAAAAATCATCATTTGTAACAGTCCACTGCCTAGTATTCAGGGCTGTGGAGTCGGTGTTAAAATCTCCGGCTTCGACTCCGACCCAGAATCCTTCATAAAATCTCAATATGTATTAATTAGGGTAAACCTACTTAAATTGTTAATGACACCGTAAGAGATTTCATCACCACCACGTGAATCATCAGCCTACATCTTAGACTTATAACCCATATTTAAATATAAGTCTAATGGTTATTGCAGAAATTGGTTGATTTGTATTCTTAAAGTACCGGAGTCAAAGTTACGAAGTATTATTCTCACACCACGTGTCTCAACGCGTCGTTGAATCTCCCTAAGCGTGAGGCGGCCGGCGTCTCACACGGTATAGAAATTGTTCTTAAGATTTTATATCGAGTTCGTAGTCCGAGTCGGTATATTTTTACCGACTCCACCTAAAATTGCTTACGACTCCGACTGCACAGCCCTGGTAGCATTTCTGACCTCTGGCAAGTCCTGGATTTTATGTTGGGATTTACGTAATATTGGTCTAGCTTTGCTAATCATAAAGAACTCTTTTGAACTATGATGTGTCTGAATATCTACTAGTTTGAGGGTTTTAAGAAAGAATTTTCAGTAATTATGAATGTGTAACTTCTTTCAAAACTCCTTTACACAAAAGCGTAAACTGAACTTGTTTTTGTCATTTCTGATTTTAAATAAATCTGTCGTATTCCTTAATTATATTACATGTTGCAACCTCTTTTATTACCTCCTAGTTCCTACGTAAATTGCTAGATAATACTCAATAATATCCAAAACTATTCTCTTCGCATTTTCCATTATTCTAATTTGTATATTATTTTTATATGTACTCTTAAGTAAAAATGAGAAAACATACCCTTTCTTGCTTATGTTTAGGGGAAAATTCGGTCCCAAGCTTGAGGTTGGCAGCAATGGTCATGGCTTCATGAACTTTGAGCAGGGGGTGTAGTTTGTCATCCTGCATGATGTAGCTCGACTGTCTCCGGAATTGACCGATATCCCTTTCAACGCCGTTAATCATTATTGAACCTGTAATTCCATTTCTCCTGCAAAAGATCATAATATTAGTCGTTTACTGCATAATTGTCTACTCTGTGTACATGTAATGACTCAAGAACAGCTGAAATAATTTTCATGATGAGCCACTAAGAGCACGAACATTTTAGAACTTCCAAACTTCCAGTGCCTTCAAAATCTATTCTAAACAAAACTGCACAGGATGCATTTATGTTTCGTTCTGGTACTCTCTGCTATAATTTAGAAATTTTCAGTGAAGTTAATCTACCTGAAATTTTATTCATCAAGTGGTCTCTAGCTCTCGGGACTTATGACATGGTACCCTGGCATCGTGTTTTGAATTAATGTTTTAATTTTCTAAATCACCGAACGAATTTCGATTAAATTTGGTATTTGGATGTGCAAGTTTTTTGACGTAAATACGTCTATATTTTAGGGTCAGTGTCATTCGGCAAAAATGTGTTACGAAAAAAGGGAAACGAAAAAGTGTAACTTCATTCTTATGTTACCTAGAAAACGTCATCTATTTACTCGGCATTGTTGTTACCTATAAAACATTTCATTACTTTACATTACATTCATCTACCACAGACCCATCTTAAGCGTATCTAATTCAAGTTAAATAAGCAAAGTCTTAATCAAACTTTACTCAATTGTAAAGCATGTATAAAGGAAATATTTAGAATAAAGCCAATATATAAACTTCCTTTCCGTATAGACGTATTTACGTCAAATTCTCCGGAATCGTGGTTCCACTGACAACTTTTTAACAAATTTAATTTTGATTTTGTATCTGTTTAATATAACCGATACATGAAACTTAAATTTAACATATAGAATCCCCAAAAAGTCTGGAAGTACGAAAAATTGGTAGCGTACACGACATAAATATACCCTGACGATGAAGGCAGTAAACTCCTCAGAAGCATTGGTCATCATCTTTTCTGGCATCACTAGACAAGTCTATTCGCCACTTGGCCTTCCATTTGACCTTACGATTGGCTGTGACCCTGATGTATTTGATTGGCATGTTCTGGTAGTGGTGAGGATGCGCGAAGCTTTGAATGTGAAATAGCTTTCATTGGAACTCGGTATAGAGATTTTAAATAATATTCACGTATTCATCTACGTGATGACATGATTCTGAGGGAAAATAATCTCTGGTTTCGTATCAATACGCGTTCTGTGTTTAAAATGTACAGAATTACATATTTAACCTCCCATATCGCGTCCTATAATTGTGAGGTCTGTGCTGAAAATTGACGTATGAATTTAAATCTGTCTTACGTAGGATTTGAGATTTTCACGGTGATGCGAATAGAGATTGCGGGCTTCTGAGTTGTTCTACAGGGTGATGTTTTGGCTGTACCCACGAAACTCTATATAAAGCATCACCTTCATGATTTACGCCCTGAAGATAATGACAGTATGTTCCTCCGAAACGTTAGAATACAACGAAAATGCTACATATCGTGAAAACTCAGAAGATCGCCATATTTATTTTGTCTCAGACTGGTGACGTAAATAATGTTTCTTGTTTTTGGAATTTAATTTTGTGCTAAACTTATTTTCAGGCAAACTGCGGTCCGCAATAATTTTCCCGTGTGTATTGTAAGGGTGTGGTATATTTACACATAGGAATTGTGAAGAAAGGAGCACTAAAGGATGGTCTACTCTAGATAGTTTGGTCTAGAATGGGGGCAGACAAGGAATGCGTACAGAATTTTGGTGAGGAAACCTCTTGGGAGACCGACAATTATATGGAAAGATAACATCAGACTAAAGGAGTCTGGGAGTGACTGAAGTGAATAATGCTAGATGGAATGTGTAAGCATCTTACTTTATTCTGTTGTTAGAGACGCGTATCTCCTGCCAAACGAGTTGCCTTCTTTCTCATTGGCCTTGCAAACTTCTTCCTGTCGTCCACGTGGCATTTTTACTACTTAACTTCAAGGCTATTTCGTAAGTTCAATTCCTAATATCAAAGCAGCAGCAGCAGCGTCAGGAGAAGTGTTTCTGAAACGACGCTGAATCACTCGTTGTAGCGAGACAGCTTTTTGTATATTTTTAATAAATGCAATGCGACCGTCTGATTAACATCCATATTTTTTTATGTTTCTTAAACTCCTACAGATTTTGAAGTTTGGATAAAAATTCATAGTTTATTTAATTTTTTTTTAAACCTTTGGCCTTTGGTCGAGAAGAATGAGATGGGCGGGGCATGTAGCGCGCATGGTTGGGGCAAGAGGTGTACACCGGTTATGAGGGGAAGAGACCTCTGGGGAGACCTAGACGTAGATGGGAGGATAATCTCAGGCGGGATCTATGGGAGATAAGAGTTGAAGGAGACTGGATTTTGTTGGCCCAGGACAGGGTCCGGTGGAGGGCTTTGGTTAATTCGGTGATGAACCTTCGGGTTCCGTAAGCTATCTGGTTGGTTGGGTCCACTATTTGGGAAGCCTGAGGGGAAGAGACCGCTGGGGAGACCTAGACGTAGATGGGAGGATAATCTCAGGCGGGATCTATGGGAGATAAGAGTTGAAGGAGACTGGATTTTGTTGGCCCAGGACAGGGTCCGGTGGAGGGCTTTGGTTAATTCGGTGATGAACCTTCGGGTTCGGTAATCCATCTAGTTAGTTAGTTTAAAGTTTAATATGTTCGTTATCTCATGCCATATGGTCTGATAAATGGCAACACAGCACAGCGAATTTCACTTCAAACATCAGCAGGTTTGAAGTTCATTGAAGTCGGCGGCCATAATGTTTGCTCAGCGGTTTCGTGTCACAAGGCTCTCAGACTCTGTACTCAGACTTGTCTCATAAAATTGGCCATACCAATGAGGTCTTCGGTGTTAAGAAAATCATTGTGATTGGTCCCTGCTGTCTGCATCATCGTTTCTTTCACTTACCCAGTAAATAATTTCAAATATGGCGAGTAGTTGAACCATTTACTATTGATCTATTAGACGGTTTATAGAAATATGCTCTGTATTCTTACAGCCTTCCCTGGACAGTCGCTAGGCAACGAAATTGATTAATCAGCAGACTCAGAAACAGGGTCTCTATGAGAAACCGAGAATCATTCAGATGAGAAAAAAATCCCTGCTTCTATAAAACTCAAAGTTCCGTTAATGTTTACCAGAAAGCCAGTCATCTGACCCTGCCTTTTGCCCGATGTTCTAATCAACTTCATAACAGCTGTTTTCTGTAACATCCATTGTGATACAGGGTGGTCCAAAAGTCCTTCAGAAATATACCGTAAGCGGCACACAATGTGTTATACGAACGAATCGCGCGGCCTTCTTTAATTATGGCTTAATTGGAGGATGAAATACAAGGATTAAGACCGGGTATCGGGCCTGGAATTGAACCCCGGTCTTTCCAGATACGGTACATTTTGTTTCGACGCGAATTATGGACAGGAATTATGTTTTTCGGGGTCGGGAGAGAGTTGTACAGTGTTCATACAGAAACATGGAGTTTTATGATTGCAAAAACTTACTTGTATCCTGCGAGAATGTCCAGCAGTGTGGACTTGCCGGCTCCTGAAGGTCCCATGATGGCTGTCAGCTCGCCAGACTGAAATTCTCCGCTTATTTGCTTCAGGATGCATTTAGACTCTGAAATGTGCGGATAGTTAGAATATTCAGGCTCTTATGATTATGAGAAATGTGTCTGAAAAAGTAGGAATTGGGTTGTAGAAAATTTCTTAATCAAAAACTGAGGAAGTGTTCTTAAATTCTGGGTCCTACAGCGTGCTAGTCATACATCTTTGTCACTCAAGAAATGAGTATTCCCATATGATCACATTTCTGATTCGGAGATTCCATGTGTTTTAAATGCATGTTTATTAATAAAAATTAAATCTCAGTGGTAATTATATGCCCCACCTTCTTCAACAGTTGTTACCTCCTGGTTTTGTATTTATATCTGTGTGTTTTTCGTATGATTCTGTGTGTAACCAGCGATTATTTCCTTAAACAGCGATAACCAGTTGATCTCTGTAATGGTGAAATGTAATGTTTTCTGCGCGGTACGGCCTGAATTCGTAAATATTTAAAGCTTCAGTTTCAAGCGGTTATATCAGCTAAATCCTAGCACCGTTCATTGTTTTTTAAATGCAGGCAGATTGGACAGGATATATTCCTTAAATCACGAAGAAATTGTCGCAAAACATTCTTTGTGTGCTGTTAGCTGTATAATTGACCGATGAGTTCATGACAGAACAGAGTTTTAATGGCTGAGATAGGCCTTTGCTACCAAATCGCAAATCCTGACTTTCAGATAAACTGTTGGCCTTTGGCACTGTAATAGACGTTGCTTATACAGTCATATGGCGTATTTAGTTCATACGCGATTAATGTTACCACAGAAGAATAAAGGCTTTTAAGAAGCATGATAATTTGTAAGCATCTGTTAGATACGTGTGGCAATGTTCTGATATTAGCATCGAGAGTCTAGCACGGCAGATAACGCCACTGGACCCTGAAATATATTATTTTAAATTCCGTCCTCATCGCAGATTATTGTCCTTAGCTCCACCCCCGTCTCAGATTTCCAACGATTTAACTAACAAAACTCCGTATATACGCTTAATGTTCATAAACTTTCTAACTACATGTCAGAAAATTGTAATCTGCACTGTCATGAAATTTGAGTAAATTATTGCTTTGCGATTTAAAAAGAAACGATCAAACGTTTACCTACGTGAATTGTACCAGTCACTGCGCTTAGAAACTGTAAATATCCCACCGCTAATACATTGAGGGAACACAAAAGTGCAAAAAGATGTATGAATTTGTTATAATAATATAATAGCCACTAGTTCATCGTACACTGTCGTCGTTTCTTGTTAAATTGAAGGTCGGTGGATGTTTGAAGTCGGTGGAGTGAAGGGTCCATTATCTTTACAGAGATTACTCCCTCGTGTTGCATGTTTATTCAGTTAAAATCAAAATGGCGTCCCGAGCTTAATGTTATCCCACGATCGTTAACATTACACACAGGCGTCCCAAAAAGATATATACACGTTGTAATCCGGAATATTAAACCTTGTGTGTTCAGGTGAATAGTCGATTTCCGAACTATCTGCTAACATTCTGAACCCTGTCCGTCACGTGTCACATTTTAATTACTGTTTCTCAGGTACAATCAGTCGTACGTTACAGGATACTGCAAAATCGACATCTTTGACTGGTCTGATGGAGTAATTCGGTTTATCCGAGATAACGAAGAATTGTTTTGTGCGGTGTTGGTGTAACTGGGCACGTGGTGGCCTTAAGTACAATGGGCATATTCATAATCTGTTCACCAGGTGTTCATTGCTCTCCACTCAAGATCAGGTTTAAGATACCTCGTCGGACATGCTCTCTTCATATTTTCGTGAATCTGTAATGCATGATCAGACAGTAAAAATAATTGATAACTTGTTAGCAATTTATTGAACTACGGTCTGTTAAGATTTGATGCTTTCAGATAAGGTCTTCTCGTGCAATCACCTGTGTTAGAATGGAATTAATATCCAATGTTTCGCAGACTGTCTCTGAAGGTAGAGATAACCGCCCGAAACGTCGAATATTAAGTCTATTCTCACACGACTGTTCGCATGAGAAACTTTATTTTAGTTATTTTGTCGTCAAGCCTTTCTGTTCGTCGTCACCTCGAAAGAAATTGATGTACACCCCTGATCTGTGTTGCAGTTACAGAAATTTTTAAACATCCATGAGCTTCGGTTCTAAAGCTTCTGAAACGAAGTACATCAAATCAATAATCTGAATTAGAATAAAGTGGTGGGTTTCTTCCGAATTCGTAAATTGTAAATTGAATCTGCGGCAGCTCCATCTCGTGATTCTGCACTACAAACTTGCAGCTGTTGTCAGACTCTTTGTGTAGGCGGAAAGCGGGCTACAAAAACAAATGAACAAGCGAGAGTGACCTAAATTTCTTCAAACTCGTTTTATTTCCAGTCACAGTTTCATCGCGACCTAAGAAAGACTAACAACACGTGGCACTTTCGGAACCTCGCTGCAGATGTGAACGGCTTTTCGACAACCACTAGGAAGAAATTCCTCTGTCCTCCCAGTGAAGATGCAACAAAAACCAAACAAAGAAAATAATTTTCACACGAGCAGCCACGGCCTTGGGCCATTTTTCTGCATGTATCTTGGAAAAAAAATCTTATTCTTGCAACAAATTACTAATTCCATGGCAAAATTCCCATCCTTTTATGGAATTTGAAGGTTCCATTACCGTGTCCACAAATGCCTTCCACTGAAAGTATTCTGTATCTACTAACTAACTAACTAGATGGCTTACCGAACCCGAAGGTTCATCACCGAATTAACCAAAGCCTTCCACCGGACCCTGTCCTGGGCCAACAAAATCCAGTCTCCTTCAACTCCTATCTCCCATAGATCCCGCCTGAGATTATCCTCCCATCTACGTCTAGGTCTCCCCAGCGGTCTCTTCCCCTCAGGCTTCCCAAATAGTGGACCCAACCAAC